TTAACAACATATGATATTGTTATACCATACATATGGACTATAATGGGTATGTCCCAATTGTTATAAATACTGTGGAATATAATGTATGTTGATCCACTGTGGGATTTCACTTGCGATTCACCTTGATTCACTTCTAGCAGCTGATTACTTACTTCACGCCGCTGGTGAATCCTGTATGTAGTTCCTGTTATAAATATTATCATGCCTGTTGTAGAGTGGCTAGCACCCCTTCAGCATGCTACCAGATGGCCTGGCTCAAAGCCTTAAATAATCTATGGTTAAGGACTTCAACAGTTGATTAATAAGTTGATACTAAGCTGATTAATATTCGGACTGATCTTACTTCGTTTAGTTATACAGCATTTGACCCTCCTCTATTCCTTGGATGTATCTGTTAGCACCGGATACTGGTGCAGAATAAATATATTAAGCACTCATTCTGTATATCATTCACCTTGACAAGAAAACAGTTCCATTTCCATCCTTCATTTTGGTTATTCTCATTCAGTAACCTTTTCCTAGGTTACGCCATTTTGGATCTCGTCCTCATTGCCAAAATGGTGTAAGCTAGGAAAAGTTTACTGAATAAGAATAACCAAAAAGAAGGTTGGAAATGAATGATAATATTTATAACAGAAACAACATACAAGATTTGTCAGCAGTGTGTAATAAGTAATCAGAAGTGAATCCCACAGTGAGATATTCATTAACTGCCCCACGCAGTTAGATGTAGCACAAGGCCGAGTTTATTGTGGGGTATCCAAGTCTGTAGGCTCAGGCAAAAATTCCCCGTAGACCCCGTAAAAATGGGGTCGGGTAGCTGTCTACCACCCCAGACGAGACTCTGCCTTCGGCATAGCCTCATCTGGGTTCCTCTCTGTCTGGAGGCAGAGAGTTTGACCAGCACACCAGGAAGAGAATTCTACAGTGAATCCACATATAGTATATTCCCCTGTATTTATAAGGATTGGGACATACCCATTATAGTCCATAGGTACAGTATAACAGATACGGAGATGATACAGTTTTGATAGCAGACATAGAAAGGAAACTACAAGAACTCTGATAGAAGATACTGAAGAAAAGTGAGAAGAAAGGACTAAACATCAATTGAATTCAAGATAGAATGTATGGTTGTTAGCAAAAGGAACAGTCCAACTTGCAAATTACAAATTGGAGATGCCAAAATCAAACAAGTACAAAAATTTAAATATCTGGGAAATGGTTTAACAGAGGATGGAAAGTGTGATACTGAAATCTAAAGGTGCATTGGGATAGTAAAAGATGCCTTCCAAAAGCTAAGCAAAGTATTAAGAAACAAAAGTTTTATTAGAACCAAAAAGAAAAACTCTTAGAAAACAGTAGTGAGCTATTACATAATATCAGTCCTCCTATATGGTAGTTAATACAGGACCATCTCTACACAGATGAAGGAGAGACTTGAAGCAACAGAAATGTGGTTCTACAGGAGGATGCTGGAAATGTCATGAACCGAGCATGTGAGTGACGATATTTTAGAGAAAATAGAAATGAAAAGGAAACTTATACATAACATCGGGAAGAGATAGATGAAATTTCTAGGGCACATAATGAGGAAAGAGAGCTTGGAAAATTTGACACTCACAGGACATATTGAAGGTAAATGGAAGAGAGGAAAACAATGCATAACCTACCTAATGAGCTTGAGTAAATGGATGGCAGAACAGGGTTCAGGAGAAATAATAAAAAGACAAAATTTATTAAGAGCTACAAAGGATAGGAAATTGTGGAGAGCCATGATCACCAACATCCTGAAAGGACAGAGAAGAAGATAATTGTGATTTCAGATAGTATGGGTATACCCAGTAGATTTTCAAACTAAACCCTTTATTAAATATTCAGAGATATATTGTTCTCACTTTCCAGTCTTGATACAGTTGAAATGTTTTTCTGAATCCTTATTGAAGAATTATTTTCCACCCTCCAACTTCTCTCTCACAGGTGGAATGTGATAGGACTCTCACTGCTACCATGAAAAGTGCTTGGATGAACTACATACCTTTGTTCCACCAGGTCTAACCTTCACTGTTAGGACCCACCATGCCACTTACATAGTTCCTGCGATTTTCCATTGGCGAAAAATAAGTTCCACTCAAACAGCTTCTTCCCGTGGAACAGACTCCCAAGAAGAGATTTCCCTAATTACTACAATCTTAACCTGTTCAAGTCTAGAGTCAACCATTATCTTCCTCTCCTATCCCTATAAACTACTCCAAGGTCATTTGTGCAAAATGAATAAAAGACTTGGTCAGAATTTAAACTCAATACATTAACTCCACTTTTCACTTCAGTAACTTTTGTGATACCTACATATCCACATTTTTTTAAAATCCCTGTCTCTTCAGAATGTAGGCAGTCATGGCTCTCCGCAACTTTCATTCCTTTTTCAATATCTGTGAATTGCCAAGATTCTTGGGAAAAATAGTGGCGTAGTTTCTCTGTTGGCTTCTCCATCAATTTGTATTCAAATACTTCTAGACTACCTAAAGCTAGAGAGACCATTCTACCCTACTATGTTTCTTTCCTAAGAGCATTCATGCAAAAATATACATAACAGACTTGGTTAGAATTTTAACTCATCTTGCTGATTACACTTTCTATGCTATTAACCATTGCATTACCAAGACATCCACTAGGACTATTACTGCTCTTAAAAGCATTTATTATGCACAAATATTTTTTTTTTAATGCAATCTTATCCCTTGTAAACTCACTTAATTCAGTCTTGAATATTAATTATACAGACTGGACATTATACAACAGAAACTTTAGACTATCATTACAATCGTCAGAGCAGACCAAAAATGGAATATTGTTTGGGCCAGAGCTGCCCATTCTTACTTGCCTGTGTTGAGAGACTTCCAAGACATCTACATGGCCTTGTGGATGAGGAATTATTTTCCACCCTACAAGTCCTTTCTCACAGAAGAAATGTTTGCAAGCTTTATCACTATTTCTATGACGGGTGTTATAATGATCTACATTACTTAGTCTCATCAACTTTGACCTTTATAACTGGGTTCCAACATGCCATGTATACAAGGGTCAATCATCCCCATTCCCTTTGTATTCCAATAGTAAGGATGAAGTTCCATTTGGATTCCATCTTCTGCTTTGTGGAACAAACTTTCAGCAGAATGTTTTCTCAATGACTAAAATCTTGATTTCTTCAAGTCTACAGTTAACCATTATCTTTTCTGTAAAACCTCATTAATTTCACTTCTTGCCTTTTTTATGCTCACAGTAATCCTCTACCTTGAGTGGCTCTTGGGACTTGTATTGGGTGAACATCAATATGAAAAGATCAAAATTCAGCTGATAAGTGTGACAAATTACCGACTTAGTGAACCACCATCAAAAGAATTCTTGCCTTTTTTTATGCTCATACAACATCACACAGTAACTCTCTACCTTGAGTGGCTCTTGGGACTTGTATCGGGTGAACATCAATATGAAAAAATCAAAATTCAGCTGATAACTGACAAATTAGCAACTTATTGAACCACCATTCAAACTGCATAGCATTTGTAAAAACAGTTAACTTTTTTCTGTAGACTTAGCCGTCTAATACAAATCGTATTATGTTGACAGATTGTTATATGTAATGCATTTAAGTAGTGCAGCAAGGTTTCGATGAAGAAAAATCAAAGCTTTATAATTATGCTGAGAAAATCAAAATGACATATTTCCTTGATGAAAATTTCTGTGGAAAAAAAAAATGACACAGAATATTTTCATTAATAAATCAATAATAGTTTTATATGTGCTTATTATTTTTTTATGTAAAAAGAATTTAAATTGCTTCTTTTTTGAACCAGGATTTTTAAACTCAAATCTATGTAAATATATTAATTATCCACTTGAGCAGATTTATCAGCTATCTAGTCAATTAGAGGAATTTGAATTGCTTCCCATTTGAACCAGGATTTATAAACTCAAATTTATTTACATATATTATTTATTGACTTTAGCAGTTTTATCAGATATCGAGTCAATTACAAGGATTTGAATTTCTTTCCATTTGAACCAGGATGTATAAACTCAAATCTATGTAAATGTCTTATTTATTCTCTTGAGCTGTTTGAGCATCAATCTAGTCAATTACACTGATTTGAATTGCTTCTCTTTTGAACAAAGATTTATGTACTCAAATCTGTTTAAGTATATTATTTATTGACTTGAGCAGTTTTATCAGTAATCTAGTTAATTACAGGGATTTGAATTGCTTTCCATTTGAACCAGGATTTGTAAGCTCAATTTTATTTGGATATATTAATTATCCTCATGAGCCATTTTATCAGGTATCTAGTCAATTACATGTATTTGAATTGCTTATCCATTTGAACAAGAGTGTATAAATGTGAATCTATTTTAATGGATTATTTATCCTCATGGGCAGTTTTATGATTTATTCTATAAATTACAGGGATTTGAACTACTTTCTTTGAACCATCGTTTATATACTTAATCCTATTTAAAGGCATTATTTTTCCTCTTGAGCTGTTTTATGCGTTATTCAATCCATTTTAAGAATTAAAATATTTCTGAAGAATTTGATCGCATTAAAATGATTACGTCTGTTACTATTACTAGTGATAAACAAGCATCAAAGTCCAAATAAAATAAATACTAATAAAAAATTAATAATAATTACAATGTTTCAGCAGAGGAATTTGATTTACTTCAGACAATTTCATCTGTTATAAAGTATAAAGAAACAACAAAATTAAAATGAAATTTATACAAGTCAGATATTAATAACAAGAAGACATTTATAAACTGATGTTATTCATTTAATAGTAGTTTTTCATTGTGAACAGAAACTTCCGCAGAGCTGTTTGAGTAACAAACTGAAGATCATGATTAAAATAAGAAAAATAAATTTAGTAAAAGATTTTAATCCATTTTGAGAAATGGAGGTAAAAAAAAAATTAATGTTTTAGCAGGAAAATGTTGGTTAG